ATCGACAAAAATCACATTACCTAAGATAAATGAACATAAATTAAGGACAACAGACAGAACGAAAAATGACACTGAAGATGGCACAACGCCGAAACCGGTTTGTCTGCAAACCAAACTTGACAAGGGATGACGAAATTCGTTCCAAAATAAATCATAACACGTTATTCTTCAATTTTATCTTTTTCTCTTTTTTATCTCTATCTTTGTCGCTACCGTGTTTTTTATCTTTTCATTTTTATATTTATCACTTCCTTGACCTTAATTCAGATCTGCATTATTTTCTTTATCTAAATATTCACCCACACCTTTGCTATCATATTAAGTATTTAAATTTACCATCTTTATTTTAGATTTCTTTACTATTTATTTATTTTTTGCTGAATAAATTCTATAATGTATCATTCTAGATACTCTTAACAAATATCATAATAAATTACAATTCACGATTGAAATGGAAGTAAACTCTAAAATTCCTTATCTTGACGTCTGCATCCATAGAGAAAAACACAATCTTTAACTTGACTGGTACTCAAAACCTACTTCTTCTCGACGCTTGATTAACTACATTTCATCGCAACCAACAAAATACAAAATAAACACGGCAAAAAACCTGATACACAAAATATTGACAATAAGCTACGAAAAATTCCATGACGCTAATATAGAAAAAAATAACGAATATCCTAAGCAGCAACAACTACCCAACCCATTTAACACGCGAGCTAATAAACCAACAAATAACCAAAAACTGTAGCCAAAAACACATAAGAACAAATGCAGAAAAAAATACAACAAAGAATTTCTACAGTGTGACATATATCCCGAGACTAACAGAAAACTTTGATCACAGCATAACAAAATCACCAAACGCAACAGTCAAACTGCACTCTGTCAACAATATATACATAAACAAAGTGTCCTGTACGTGTCTACCAACAAAATAATGTTATAGTTATATGAGATTACTTGTAAAGGAAAGGAGAATGATGAATGTGGAAAAGTATATATTGGCACAACAAAACGGGCTTTGGGTGTTCGACTAGGCGAACATGAAGCCGACGTAAGGAAACAAAAGACCAGCATAGCACTAGCACAACACATTATATCAAGTGGACACTCCGCTGATTTTTCAAACGCGAAAATTATTGACCAGGAAAAGAGAGAAGCAACCAGATATACACTAGAGAGCCTGAGGATTATGGAGAAACGAGAAAAGACGATAAACAACAACTAAATTTTTAGCCAAAAAAAAAAACCGACTTAAAAAAAAAAATATATATATATCTATATATTTCATGATCCAATGACCGGATTTAAACCAAATTAGTATGGGACCACCTCTGTGACACTACCGTTGCAAAAAGAATTATTGAAATCGGTTGACGTCGTGCAAAGTTATACATAAAAAAAAAATAATAAAAAAAAAATAACCTCCTCCTTTTTTGGAAGTCGGTTAAAAAGAAGATACAGACAACATAGCGGCCGCTTATATAGGTTTACTAAAATAACACTTTAGTATCGACAAAGCTACCATAATGTATGGATGGTGTTGATTTTCAGCGTATACATGTTTAGTAATGTTTTTTCTGTCTTTTTAATGTTGTGTTAGTCACAGAAATTTAAATATTTTTGTTATTAATTTCAAAATTTGTTTAAATATTCAAAACAATAGTGTGAGTTGGTTTGTACCTATATTTAAAATGTTTAATTGTCTTTATTTATATATTTTTCTTGCTTATGGTTATGTCATTGGTTTGTGACAGATATCCAATAAACGAATTGCCCCTGAAGATGCTAAAAAGTATTAGCGAAACGTTGGGCCAGAAAAATGGTATAACTTAGTTTTATTCGCATCTTTAAACTCAGATCAGGCGAGCCTATTAGTATACAAATTAAAGAAATTATGTAATGATTAAAAATTGTAAAACAATCAACACATATTGCTTCTTCAACAGCATAGTTCTTTCTAAACTAATAGTAACCTTAAACATTATAAAACACCCTTTAATAGCACACATGAACTCGCTCTCCATATCAGAAAAAAAAATTTCTGTATGAAAAGTTAACTTTGAGCTGTTGTACGCGGCAACTGTTAGTAGCAGGGACCGTAATCATTATGAGTTTTATCAAAAAAATTAACTTTTAATCATTATTTTGAGATTTTAATACTTGCAATCAATCATAATAATCAGATTTTGCGTTTTATTGTATTGCTCAGAAAATACAATCATTTATTGAGTTATATTTTTTTGATCAAAAATAAAACTAATTTTTCGAGCGTTATTTTTTTGCTCTGAAGTAATAATTATTTTGTTAGTTATTTTCTTTTTGATCAATAATAATCATTATATTATGAGTTTTATAGTTTTGATCAGAAATAATGATCATTTTTTGAGTTTTATTTCTTTAATCAAAAATAATGATTATTTTTTGAGTTTTATTATTTTGATCGAAAATAAAACTCATTTCTTGAGCGTAATTTTTTCTCTCAGAAATAAAAATTAAGTTTTGAGTTTTATTTTTTTTGCAGATCTAAAAACTCAAAACGCCTCACTTCACCTAAACTCAACTCACCACACCACACCTTAACTCACCTCACCTCAACTCACCACACCTTAACTTACCTAAACTCATCTTAACGCAACTCGCCTCAACTCACCACACTTAACTCTTCTCATGGAACTCATACCACGGTTCCGCGGAAGCTAAGTTCGTGAAAGTCTTGACGAAACCCCACTCAACTTATTGTTAGTTATGTTAAGTTCGAAACATGCAACTGTTATCGCTGTTATTTGCTTGAACTTTCAGTTTAAGTTGCATCCATAGAATATAAAAATCCCCCAAAAATAATTGACTGGATTGCAGTTTTATAGTTGCCTCATAGATTGGATCCAATGTTGCAACCAATTCGTCCACATCTCTCCACTCAGCGATGTTTAGATTGAATTTATCTTCAATGTGCTCAGCGCAGAACTCTCTGAATTTTAGAAGGCTTTAAGCATTTGGAAGGTTGAATTCCACCTCGTAACTACATCTATTATTGGCCGATTTAGCCCCTGAGCTGCCATGGTGTATCTAAATGGAATATTATGAATTCAACGATTCATATGAATAAAAATGTATTCCGCCAGTTTCCAATGCTTTTAGAAAAATTCGTTTAATTTTCGTAACGCAATTGATATAATAAATTTTGTGTTTCTAGTTCGGCTGCCGTTACTCGACAATTTTACCTCAGAGCGGTGTTTTATAAATTATTTTGGGATAGCAAATTTAAAATCGACGAAAATCCAAACAATAATCTAATGGTGATTTCGTTTGTACCAAAAAATGTCGCCTTTTGATTGCCCCTTTCTCTTTTCGTGTTCGATTCTAAATTAAGGGCAAAGGGTGAAAACATTTTGTGTTCGTTTCTTAAAATGTCACACTTGTGTAAGGCAAAAAAGGCACCTTTTCTGCGCTTTGAAGCTTTATCAGGGGAGATGGTTGTTCTGAAAATCAGATGGTTGCTTCAAACGATAATATGATGGAATGCCTGAGCTGGACAAGGACAATAAGGAAAAAACATGCCTTTTCAAAGGGTTGAGTGTAGCATCAAACACATTTTGCACCGTGCAAGGGCAACATTTTTTGGTAGAAACGAAATCACCATAAATGTTTTATTTTTCTGAAATAAATTGCTACAAACGCTAAAATCTAAATCTAAATCTACGCTTAACGATCATTTCTTTCACTGAATGAATTGTTTTGTGCATTTGCACTTACATATATGTAACTCCACATAGTATGGAACAAACACAAATCCCCCGCTTCTATTCCATTATCTGTGTAAAATACCCGTCTTTTTCGGTAGATACATTTGGATATGGTGGTCGATTTATTATGGATACTTCAAAGGCTAGGGCAACGGCAACACTGACAGATAAATTTCAAAAGTTTCTATCAAACTCGTTTCAATTATTGCTTATAGTCTAACTAAACATGTTATATAAAATGTTTCAAATCAGACAAAAGTACCCCCGTTGATAATTTAACGGCAGTTGTCATAAACAAATTGAATACACATTTTTATGATTTTTGTGGTAGTTTTGAGGTACTTGATACCCATTAATTTTCATGAAACATATATCAAAAGAAAGAGAAGTGGGTGCGGAATTAAATTTTTACCCCTACTCAGGGATCGGATTTGTACAGGTTCAACGTGTAAAAATATCATAGATGTATCGATTACCAGTAGCTCAGCAGAACAGAATATGTATTAATTTTTACTATGCGAGTATATATAGAATAAAAAAATAAAAATAAAAAATAAAGTCCGTGCCACAGGTTTTGAACCCGTGACCATCAACACGGCAGTCGAACACACATCCATTCGGCTACAGCAGCTGTTGAGATAACGTGAACAAAAATGATACTTGAGTTAGGCACTCGGCACATTACGCGCCTAATCAAAGTAGAGTAATCGTTTCATCATACCGAAACGAATGCATGACGACTCGACTTCTGTACACTTGCACGCCCAGCATAAGTCACCAGCTAATAAACACTTTCTACACATAACAAATTTTTAGGCAGTTCTTTCGCAACACGCACTTCCGCAAATTATTCCGCTCCGAAATATTGCATAAACGCTTGTGGTTTAATACAATTTGCACGAATTTTAGCACGAAATCGTTCATTTCCAATTATTTTCTAATGAATTGACAAATAAATTTTATTTCCAACACAAAAAAGTAAACAAATGACGATTTCAAAACAGAAAGCGCCTTACAATGTTGGGCGCTTCGATTCATGAAGCTTTTATGATTAGGTGCAAACATGATTTTGAATCGTAATCTACAGAGCTTCTTTGAAATACATGGGTTCGGCATAAAAGCTTTATACTTTAGTATGCCGAAACGATTACACTACTGTGATTAGGAGCTTAATGTGCGGAGTGCCTTAGTTTTCAAACTTTTAGTTTTGTTTGTCGCTTCAAAGCTACACATCTTCCGCTCGCTTACATTGCGATGCATCTTTTCGTTCAACCGTAGTTATTAATCTTTTCTTGGTAGAAAAAGGTAATGATTTCCTATCCCACTGGGTTTTCTTCAGTGCTCTGCTTGCAAATACGCGCTGATCAGCTCAGAAATAAAATGTATTTGTGATTTGCTTTACTGAACTGAGATGACGTGAGTTGAGTTGAATTGAGGTGGGGTGAGTTGAGGTGTGGTGAGTTGAGGTGAGGTGAGTTAGGGCGAGTTGAGATGAGTTGATGTGAGGTGAGTTGAGGTGTGGTGAGTTAAGTTTAGGTGAAGTGAGGCGTTTTGAGTTTTTCGATCTGCAAAAAAAATAAAACTCAAAAGTTAATTTTTCTGAGAGAAAAAATAACGCTCAAGAAATTAGTTTTATTTTCGATCAAAATAATAAAACTCAAAGAATAATCATTATTTTTGATGAAAGAAATAAAACTCAAAAAATGATGATTATTTCTGATCAAAAATATAAAACTCCCAAAATAATTATTACTTCAGAGCAAAAAAATAACGCTCGAAAAATGAGTTTTTGATAAAAAAAAATACAACTCGATATATGATTTTTTTTTGAGCGATTAATTTAAAATCGAAATGTAATTCTTAATTATAATTTGTATAGATATCGCTCAAACTTTTTGATCTCATAAGAGATTCATACAAAGGATGAAAAAACATGCACATGTATATACTAGAAATTGTTCTACGATATTTTGAACCTTTTGATTTTTTTCATTGAAAATTTTGAAATAATCATTATTTTCGGTCCCTGGTTAGTAGCTAGGAACCCAATGTTTATACACGAGATTTGGTACTTCGTTATGACCTTCTGGTATATATTTTTTACTTATATATCAACTTTCGAAAATTGAATTTTGAGCATCGCCCTCTATGAATCGGCACCATTGTGCGCCGGCAATTTACTGTGAAAAATTTCTCATGCACATACAACTTATGGGACTAACCCAAATTGAACGGCGTGCGTAAAAAGCTAACTCAAATTCCAAGATTTGTCTTGCGTGATATCTCGATTTGACGTTTATGCTCGATTGACATTTTAGCGCAACTATGGATTTGTTCAATAAACTAGGTAAATTTTACAGAAATGCAGTCCTGAGAATTCACTCACGCAAATTGTTTTCGGTTTCTCAATTGTGAAAAACTTGCGTGCGTGCGTAGAAAAACACATGCCGGTAATATTAGGTGGAGATATAAGACGGAACCGATTTGATATCACTGGTTTACAGCAAAAATGTTCAATGGATGCCACTATCCAATTCCTATAAAGAATTGCTCGCTGATTTCGAAAATCGACTTTATATTTTATTCTATGGATAAGTTTTCAAGATATTTTCAATTTACTGTTATTCAGCTTAAAACAAAAAAATGTACAGACGGTTTATGGAAAATTTTGTTAGCTTTCATTTGTCGTATTACTAAACTGAAAAAGTTTATTAAATTAGTTCATGAGATATAAGTCACTAAGTGGAACCACCTTTTGTTTTAAGCTGAATAACGGTAAATTGAAAATATCTCGAAAACGTATCCATAGATAAAAAATTAACTCCATTTTTGGAATCAGCGGGCGATTCTACATACAAATTGGATAGTGGCGTCTGGAGAACAATAACCAAATTAATGGAAGAGTTTTCAAGATATTTTCAATTTACTTTTATTCCGCTTAAAACAAAAAGTGGTTACACTTAATCACGTACATATATCTTACGAACCAATTTAACAATCTTAATATGGCAAATGAAAGCTAACAAAATTCTACATAAACCGTGTATACATCACTTTTCGATAGGTCTGATAGTTTCTGACAAATTAATTAATCATTCCAGATTTTTTTTGTATGAAAATATGGAAAAAATCACTTTAACAGAAGAAAAATTTAAAAAATGACAGGTTCTGTGTCATTTTTTGCCTTTGTACTAAAGCATGTTCTGTTAAAAAAAAATCAAGTTACTAATGAAGAAAATCGATGGATAAATAAAGTAATGAGTGGTCAAATGAAAATGCGCAAAGTTTTTTTGTATGAAATATGAGCATAAAGGCTTGCTACTTAGGCGTATGAGTAACATTATTTCCTGCTCATTTCTAACACTTTCTAACACCAAAAATCTTTGCGCATTTTCATTTGACCCCTCATTACTTTTTTCCATCGATTTGCTTCATTAGTAACTTGATTTGTTTGTAAAAGAACAGGCTTTAGCACAACTGCGAGAATTCGACACAGAACCTGTTAGTTTTTAAACTTTTTTCCTGTTAAAGTTTGATTTTCTTATTTTTTTCATTAAAAAAAACTGGAATGATTAATTAATTTGTCAGAAACTATCAGTCCTATCGGAAATTGATGTATAGACGGTTTATGGAAAATTTTGTTAGCTTTCATTTGTCGTATTCCATTTTCAGTTTATTAAAAATAAACTCGATTTTTGGAATCAGCGGGCGATCCTACATACAAATTGGATATTGGCATCTGGAGAACAAAAACCAAATTAAAATTTGTGATCCAGTGTATTGGAACATTGATAACAGATTTTACTTACCAATTTATAATTTAATCGATTACATTTTTCGTATGCCTTTTCCAGAACAGGCACATTCACCGCCTTCTTTGATCGAGAAGATTTAATACCCAATGATTTACCGATTGGCATTATCCAAAACCTGAAAATAATAGAAAAATATAAAACACCTTTTAGAATAAAAGTGGTTTCCTTTACTAGCAAAATAATCTTTTTAAAAAGGCTTTTTTAGACTAATTTAGGGCCTCTTAATTCGAATATGATATTCATTTATTTTACCAAAGAAGCGCTTTCGAGGTATAGGCCGAAAAGCTTATTTTCTTAGTCCTTTTTTAAGTTACCGTAAAAATCTCGAGAAATATATACATATGTCCATAAAAATATAAAGCAGGGTACGAAAATAAACCGTACAAAGCAATTCCCAATTGGCCGTTTACAATCATATCGTATGTGGTTTTCTACAGTTTTGTACATACTTTGTCAGAAACAACTTCTTTAACTGTCTTTTTCCCTAACGAGAAACGTTTACTTTTCGTTTCTGACAATTGCATCATCGAGTACGTTATATATGCAAAGGTATAATATGGTTTTACTGGAACAGTTGCTTTACACCATGTTCTGACCGACATCGAAAACATGTTTTCGTTGCTAAAACTGGTTTTCCACCTAAAACATGTGTTTTCGTCCATTTAAAATCTGTCAAACGAAAACCAGTTTTCGCTGAAAACTACTTGAAAACTCACGTTCCACTCATTCCAATCGGTGTCTTCACTAGTTTTTTTCGATTATTTATCTAAGTGGAAGTCGTATTTTCTCATCTTTAATACGCTATTTCGTATTTATTGTTAATTGGCTGGCCAAACTAAAATAAGAATGCAAGTAAGAGGTTGCTAATGACAAGAAAATGTGGGAAAAGTATTTTGGTTTTGTTTTTGTGTAGCAAAGCTGCAATCAGAGGATGTAAGAAATGTCAACGAAAACACTAACAGCCGGTGTGAACAGCCTTCAGCACACAATTCCAAAACTCGTTTTCAAAGTGTTTTCGTTGTCGGTCAGAACATGGTATTAATTCGCCTCGGTACACAGATATTAAAACTTCTTATGAGTGAGTGCGAAAGTGAGAGTGTTAGAATTTTTCTTTCCCTCTTCCTGCTTGAGCGAAGAATATCTGAAATTTGACATTTGTGTACCGAAAACAAAAACAAAATACATTTAAGTTTAGGTTTTTGTACTACCGCTACCACCTTACATGAATTCGCCTTGATTATGTCAGTGAAAAATTATTGTTTTCTTTCTGTCAATTTTCATGTGCATTAAATTTAAATAAAAAACATTTTTCATTTTTTTATTCGTTCCAGCCAATCCACTATGGTCTGGCAGCTACTATTTGCTGGCCAAAAGTAATGTTTTAAAGGATCGATAAATCGATTGTTTTGTGCCTTAAAAAAAGTGCATACGGGTCATTCCATACAATATTTACACCTCAATATTTTTTTGGGGGTGAAATATTTTTTTACATTCTTTATCGAAAAAAAACAAGACACCTATTTTTGATTTCGTCATGATATTCGAAAATCTCGAAAAAAAATTCCCGAAATTTTGAACTCACGGAGAAGTATCTTTTTTTAATTGTTTGCAGTTAATAAACTATTTGTCGGAGAAAATCACTTAAGGTATCAAAATTTGCGTAATTACCGTGAGAGTGTGAGATAGATTAAAATTTTTGCAATAAAAGTTGTCATTTTTTATTTTTTATTATTTTATTAACTTCATCATGTTTAGTTTTTAATTTTTTTCCATACTGAATAGTTGTCAAACTTTATGGAGTAAGCTGTAAAGATTTGAGAATGGAATCACCAAAACTGTAGGAATTACTAGTTTTTTCATACCTGTGCACATAAAGTTTATACTTAAGTTTATGTACGCAGGCATGAAAAAACTCGGAACTTCTACGTTCTCAAATTTTTACAGCGTACTCCATAAAGTTTGACAAATATTCGGGTTGAAAAAAATAAAGATCAAACATGATGAAGTTAATAAAAAATAAATAAAAAATGCGATTTTTTAATGCAAAAAAATTTTTTTTTTCTTTTTTTCGATAAAGAATGTAAAAAAATATATTTCACCCAAAACAAAAATATTGAGGTGTAAATATTGTAAGGAATGACCCATACACATTATTTATTGAAAGAGATTTCGGAACCCTTTCTTCTGTGGCTGGTTTGAAAAATGTGTGCTTATAGCGAGGTTCTAAATAGGTGGATATGGCAAATAAATTGATATTTTCTAGGAATGAAAATTTCGAAGAAAATTCTGTTTTGAAAGTCGTGGCTGCCAGCCGAAAGTCATCAAATCCGTTTTGTCGTTCCATTCCATGCGCTCAATGTGCCTTGATATTTTGAGGAAAATGAGCGCAACATATCGCTAATATAGTATGGAAAGGCCGTATTTAACATTGCCGCTGAAATGCAAAAAAGCCACAACTCTAAAATTGTTTATTGTATTAAACGATGTGGGGATTTATCACTCGATGAAATGCTTCATAATCAATCAAATATTGAATTTTGGATTTTTAGTTAGTTACGGCTTTTTGTATTTCAGCGACAATGTGAGTTACGTCCTTTCCATACTATACTAACGATATATTGCATGCCAAGTCCCACTCCTCAATATATATTAAATTCGCCT